GTAAACACCGAGGTGCCCGCTTGGGCTGCGGCCGGGCCACGCCTCGCGCTCGAGCGTCGCGTCACCCGTTGCCGGGCAGAGAACCCTGTATTTGCATCTCCCAATCGCTGGCCGCGGGAGCGGGGCGGGACTCGGGCTGCGGGGCTGGGCGGTCTCGCGCCTGGGATTGGGGGAGACCGATGAGATCTGTTTCTTTTCTTAGGTTGGGGGCTGGAGGGGAGGTGGGGGGGACGCCGAGCGTGTTTTCCATCTGGCTCTCAAAGCTGACCTCGCTCCGCGTTGTCTTTGCAGTTTTAGCTTATTCAGTGACACCTGTCGCCAGGTAGGACTCCCGTCCCCCTTCTCATTGGGGGACATCTTTCGAACCGCCCCAGAAGAGAATCTGGGGAGACCAAGACTCAAAAAGCGTAGGGGTATAGGTCTGCCCTGTCATTGATGTAGCCCCTGCTACTACACATAGCCGGGAGCAGCCGACAGATGGGCGTAGTCAGTGCCTCCGGGCCAGTGACGAATCCCCTTCTTTCTCCTTTGAGGCGCCACAGGATCTTCAAGGAGTTATGACGCCCGCTTCCGAAAGACGAAACCCCGCGGACACGCACACTCGAGTCCTGGGCTCCGCGTCCCAGTGCTCTCTGTAGCACACCAAGGGCCGCGGCCATCGGTGTTCTGGAGCTGAACAGGCTTGAGCTTTTCCCAGGCCTGAGGCGAGGTTCGAGGACGCGCAGATGCCCGAGTCCCAGGTCGCGCCCCGCGTGCGGCCGGCTAGGTGCGGGCCTCGGGCACGGCGCCCCGCCCAGGCCCCGAGCCGCGTGCAGGGGCGCGGGGCGGAGTCTGCCCTGGGGGCGTGGCCCAGCCGCAGGCCCGAAGCGCGTGGCTGGGAGGGGCTGCGCGCGGCCCGTTCACCACGTGAGAGCGGGTGCTGGCCCCACCCGCGTGTGCCACCCCCGGGGGAGGTCACCTTCACCGAGTTGTGGGAGTGGGCGCTGAGGCCTCTATCCTGGAAAGCAGGAGCTGACAGGGTTCGGGAAAAGGGTCTCAGAAGTGGCATTCTCCTGGGGTACGGTTGGCAGGGGCGCGCCTCTGGCGGCAGAGCTCACCCCGCTGGGCGAGCCCAGACCGAGTCCAGCTGGAGGGTGTGGGGCCGGGAGGGAGGGTGGGCCGAGGTGCGGCTCCGCGGCGCGGGGGACGGGGCGGTGCTCTAGGTGCTCGGGTGGGTAGTTGGAGCATCCCCGGTGGGAGGGGGCGACTCTTAAAGGCACCGTGCGTTGGCTAGAAGGCTCTGCTTCCGCCCCACATGCTTTCTCCACCTTGCTGGGATTAGGAGCTGGAAATCCCTGTCTCTGAATCTTCAGGATTGCAGCCTGGGCGGTTCATTGTTCAGATGGTTGTCAGACTAGCTGTGTTCAGGTCCTAGTGCTTCCTTTTGCTTATCCTTAAAATACAGATAATGCAGTTTTTCCCTCCTAGGTTTGTTTTTACAGATTAAATAGGATAATGGATGTAAACACACCCCTGATGTCTACTGTGTATTCTGTTAAAGTTCGCTGGGACTAGATTTCCCAATAGTTACACAAGAACAGCGACGCAGAGCTGCCAACAGCATGAGAAAAAAAAAAAAAAAGTTGGGATGGGGATGGATTTAACATTCAGAAAAGGTATCATAGTAGTGATGGAAAAAATAAAACTTTCTTGAAGTTTCTAAAACTTTTCCACTTAATATTAATTTTTAAAAAAAATAAATGACATATGTTGTGCAGAGCCTTCTCTTCAGTGTTTAGGAGGCCCTCTGGCAGGCTTTCCTTGACCCCTTAGCTGCCACTATTATTATTCCAGTGTATCTGGATAGTTCATAGACTTATTCGAAGCCAGATTGATTTGGCCCAGGGTTCTTAGCTGGAAAGACGAGACATCCATTATTCCACCATTCTTCCCTCCCTCCCTTGTTCCATACGTGGTGTATCTATCTGTTGAACACACGTATTTTTTTTTTAAGAGAGAGTGAGAGAATTTTTTTTTTTTTTAGAATTTTAACATTTATTTATTTTTTCTTAGTTCTCGGCGGACACAACATCTTTGTTGGTATGTGGTGCTGAGGATCGAACCCGGGCCGCACGCATGCTAGGCGAGCGCGCTACCGCTTGAGCCACATCCCCAGCCCCAAGAGAGAATTTTTTTTAATATTTATTTTTTAGTTATTGGCAGACACAACATCTTTGTTTGTGGTGCTGAGGATCCAACCCAGGCCGCACGCATGCCAGGCCAGCACGTTACCGCTTGAGCCACATCACTAGCCCGAACACACATATTAATAATTACTATTCTGTAGGCCCACTGAAGGATGTTGGGGAGCTCAGATGGTTCAAGTTTGTCAGTCTAGGCCCCTAAAACATCCCTGCTGTGTGGCCACCAGGACACATTCACACAGACAAGATGGCATGAGAGTTCAATGAGGATGATATATCTACACTTTTTATTTTAATTTTCCCTTTACAGATTAACAGACTACTGGGTTACAGAAGTGAGCAGGATAGAATTTGGTTGTTTTGAGGTGGGTTTTCATTGCTGCTGTTGTTTTGTACCAGAGATTTAATCCAGAAGTGCTTTATTTTTTTTATTTTTTGAGACAGGGATTCACAAAATTGCTCAGGACCTTGCTAAATTGCTGAAGCTGACCTCAAACTTTAAATCCGCCTGACTCAGCCTATTAGTTGCTGGGATTACAGGCATGTGCCACCACACCTGGCTCTGTAGATCCTTAAGAGATACTTGGGGATAACCGAAAGGACCAGATGAACAAATAAAACCCTTTCACTTAGTTGTGCTATAAAGAAAATAAAGCAAGGTAATAGAGTGGATGACTGAGATTGAGGAAATGATGGAGATTAGGGGTGAGTTTAGATCTCAAAAAAGATAAGGAATCATCTACAAAAAGATCTGAGGCAGGGAGAACATTCCAGGCAAAGAGCAAATGCAAGGGGATGGAAATGAGAAAGAAATAGGGGTACAGGCATTGAGGGATATTCCAGGCATGGAAAGACTACAAAACCAGAGACCTTATGTACCAGCCATGCACAGGAGCAACTGGAAAGACCGGGGCCGGAGGGTAATATGGTGATTAGGCCTTAGAAAATTATGTGGAGTCAGGGAAAGTTTCTTAGTTGCAGGGAATTATAATCAGAGTTGTGCTTTAGGTAGATGACGGTTTCATATGTTGTGGATGGATTGGAGGAGAGAAATTTGGAAAGGGAAAGATCACATATTTTTTGACACAAAAAATATGTGTACAGTTTTTGCTATTCTAATTCTTCCTCTCCTCCCCCAGTGAAGTGCAACTATACCTAGTGGCTTGCTTCTGATGAACAGAATGTGGCAGAAATGATGCTGTGTGACATTCGTGACAGGGCGCAGGTTTTGTGATTTCCTCCTTGCTTTCTATCTTGTATCGCGTTTTCTGGGAGAAGCCACCTGCCATGTTGTAAGGACACACTCAAGCAGCCCTGTGGGAAAGCTCAAGTGGCAAGGGACTGGGGCCTTCTGCCAATAGCCATGTGAGTGTGCCATCTTGGAATAGATCCTCCAGCCCCCTTTTTTAAGTCAAACCTTTGGAGGACTGTGGCCCTGGCTGACATCTCGACTACGGCCTCCTGGGAGACCCTTAGCTGGAACCACCCAGCTCAACTCTTTCCAGATTGATGATCTACAGAAACTGAGATGGTGTTTGCTTTGGTAAGCCTCTAAGTTTGTGAATAATATATTATGTAGCCAGTAGATATAGTAGAACCCACTTATCCTAGGGGATACCCCTCAAGACTCCCAGCAAATGCTTAAACTGTGGTTAGTACCAAACCCTGCATTTATATTTTTTCCTGTGGATTGTTAAATACACAAATGTAATACCTTTTCCTTTATCACCAAGCACTTATGCACTGTGGGTGTAATTTTTGCAGTTTGAGGTGTAGAAGCAAAACTAGCATGAATTTCTTTTCCTTCTTCACAATTTTCATGGATAGCTAGTTTGTTCTTACCATAAAACTTAGCAACCTCAGCACATAATTGTTTATTTTTCCTTATTAAGTTCAGAACATTCACCTTTAGGAACATTCATTTATAGGAAGCATTTTGTGGCTTCTCCAAATTTAGGAGAAAAAGAATTTGGTGGAATCCATTGTCTTAATGCCAAGAAATACCCACTTTATTTTTATTTTTTTCTTTAATATTCTTTTAGTTGTAGATGGATGTGATACCTTTATTTTATTTATTTAGTTTTATGTGTGCTGAGGATTGAACCCAGTGCCTCATACGTGCTAGGCAAGTGCTCTGCCACTGAGCCACAAGCCAGCCCGGGCCCCACTTATTAATAATTGGGGTTTTTTGTTTGTTTTTGTTTTGGGGGTTACCGGGGATTGAATCCAGGTCCTCTCACATGGTAGGCAAGCACTCTTTTATATTTATTTATTTATTTATTTATTTTTTAGGCAAGCATTCTTAACACTGAAATATACCCCCAAGCTTTTATTGAGATAGAGTCTCATTCAGTTGCCCAGGCTGGCCTTGAATTTGCACTCCTCCTGCCTCAGCCTCCCAAATAGCTGGGATTACAGGTGTTTGCCACTATGCCCAGCCCAACTTGGTATTTTTTTTCCAGTTATTTTTTTCTTTGGGCACATCTTTTGTTTAGGTGTCTTCATTTTGTTTCCCATAACTTCCAATTAAAATGGTAGCTTGGGGCTGGAATTATGGCTCAGTGGCAGAGCAATTGCCTCACAAGTATGAGGCACTCAGTGGGGTTCGATCCTCAGCACCACATGAAAATAAATAAATAAATTAAAGGTATTGTGTCCATCTACAACTAAAAATTTTTTTAAAATGATAACTTGTTCATTTTTCCATATGGCTAGAAACTCCTCACTGGGTTTTCCTGTAATTCTCATATATATGTGTGTACATATACATACATATATATATATATAATGTGAATCTGTTCTCCAAGCCATTTTAAAGTGCTTTGACAAATATGAAAACTTTGTATTAAAACTTGATTCATATTTTATCTATGTAGAAGTATCTTTATTTTTTGTTATTGCAAAAATGCTGTATTTTAGGGGCTGGAGTTGTGGCTCAGTGGTAGTACACTTGCCTTGCACGTGTGAGGCACTGGGTTCGATCCTCAGCACCACATTAAAAAAACAAAAGAAAAGTTATTTTTTAAAATGCTGTATTTTAGTAAATAAAGTCAAACTATACTGATTTATATAAAGTAAAAGTGAACATCTGAGAAAATATCTGTACTCGAGAAAAAGGGCACTATTTTATTTATTTTTTAGTAGTAGTTGAACACAATACCCTTATTTTATTTATTTTTACATGGTGCTGAGGATGGAACCCAGGGCCTTGCACGTGCAAGGTGAGCACTTTACCGCTGAGCCACAATCCCAGCCCCAAGGGCATATTTTAAATAAATATTAATGAAAATTGCCAGAAATGTGAATGCTTATAACCCACGGTGCATGTATAGTTGTTTTACACCAGTGGCTGATGCTGTTGTGGTTTGCAGTAATCTGCTCTCCTCACAGCTCTTCTCTTTCCATTTTGTGGCTAGGTTTGTTTCCAGGTCCACCTAGTGTTTATTTGAGGGATGCAGTCAGTCCCTTCTTGAAAGGGATTTAGATGGTTTTCCTCCTTTTTGACTGTTATAAACAGTAGGTCAGAGATCACCCTTATGTACACATCTTTGTGCCCTTGTCTGTTATTTCTTTAGGATAAATGCACTGCAGAAACTCCGCAGCCTCAACATATACACATTTAAACTGGAGGATCCCAGACACACCAGGCTTGGCCTATTCAGGGCCCTGGTACGTGCTGTCTCCCTTGCCTGGAAAACTTTCCACCTCATTCCTACCCGGCTCGTGCACCTCCTCATTTTAGACTCAGCTCAAACAGGCTCCCCAGAGAGATCTGCTCTGACCACTCTCTGCTGTTCACCCATCTTCCTCTCAGGAACACAGAATTGCTCAGTCTCTGATATGTTCTCATTGTTGGCCATGACTGGCTCATTTTATACATAATATAATAAATATAAATCAGACACTCGATGCAAGAACTGAAACATCATCATAGCTTTCCTTCTCCCATTAACTCCTTTCCTGTCTTTGCCATCTGCCTCCCCTTACCTGAGGCAATGTCTACCCCAAATCTTCTTTAACATCTTTAAAGAACATAACAGCTTTATTGAGATATAATTTGCATACCACACTGTTCACCCACTTACAGTGCATCATTCAGTGGCTTTTAGTATATTTACAGAGTTGTGTAACCATCACAGTAGATTTTAGAATATTTTCATCTTTCATCATTAGCAGTCACTCCCCCATCTGCTCTGCAGCCCTTCTAATCCCAGCTCTAGGCAACCACTAATCTACTATCTGTCTCTATGGATTTGCTTATTCTGAACATTTCATGTAAATAGAATCATGCAAGTTGTCGCCTTTTGGGACTGACTGCTTTCATTTAACATCCTCTTTTCTGGATTTATCAGTGTTGTAGTGTATATCAGAACTGAATTCCTTTTTCTTGCCAAATAATATTTCATTGTGTGGATATACCACAGTTTCTTTACCAGTTAGGCAATTAATGAACATTTGTGTTGTTTCCATGTTACAGCTATTGTGAATAATGTTGCTATGAATATTCATATGCAAGTTTTTGTGTGTCACACGTTTTCATTTCCTTTGGGTATGTACCTCGGAGTGCAATTGCTAGGTCATATGGTAAATCTGTTTAGTCTTTTGAGCACCTGCCAAAGCAACTGTATCATCTTAAATTCTAGCCAGCAGTTTATGAGGTTACAATTTCCTCTTTTGGGGCTGGGGATGTGGCTTAAGCGGTAGCGCGCTCGCCTGGCATGCGCGGGGCCCTGGGTTCGATCCTCAGCACCACATACCAACAAAGATGTTGTGTCCACTTAAAAAGTAAATATTAAAAACTCTCTCTCTCTCTCTCTCTCTCTCTCCCCCCCTCCCCCCCCTCCCCTCTCTCTCTAAAAAAAGAAAAAAACAATTTCCTTTTTCACTTACTTTTAAAAATATACACTTATTATTATTAGAGCTTGATAGTTATGCATAGTAGTTGATTTCATCTCCACAAACTCATATATGCATGGAAATCAATTCCCCTCCCCCATCTTTTCCCTCTCACTAAAAATATACACTTTCTTAGCCTGGTGCCATGGCATAGGCCTGTAATCCTAGCGGCTCAGGAGGCTGAGGCAGGAGGATCACAAGTTCAAAACCAGCCTCAGCAAAAGCAAGGCACTAAACAATTCAGTGAGACCCTAGCTCTAAAAAAAGTATATTAAAAGTATATTAAATAGGGCTGGGGATATGGCTCAGTAGTCAAGTACCCCCAAGTTCAACCCCCTGTACAAAAATAAAAATTATACACACACACACTTTCTTAAAAATGCGTTGTCTTGGAGCTGGGGCTGGGGCTCAGTGGTAATGTACTTGCCTGGCATGTATGAGGCACTGGGTTCGATTCTCGGCACCACATATAGATAAATAAAAATAAAGGTCTATCAACAACTAAAAAAAAATTTTTTTAAAGTGTTGTCTTTAGTTTTAGCAAAAGGATATCATACTTCATGCAGTATCTCCTCTTTGCTTTCTCAGTGTTCATCCACCTCTGAACCCCTTTTGATACTATCAGACGTCGTCATTTTTACCTGTATAATTCTCTTACCACTCTCTTTTCTTCATAGTACTTGTCATATTCTGAATTATTTTCTGTGTTTGCTGTTTGCTGCCTGTCTTCTCTCCACTAGAGTGTCTGCTCTAAGAGGGCGAGAGTTTTGACTTTTTTTTAATTATTTTTATTTTTTATTGCTCTAACCTAGCCCTAGGACAGTGTCTGGCATTGTATGCTGAACCTGGCCTCTACCACAGGCACGCTCAGCCCAACATGCCTCCTTAAAGCTTTCCAACTTCCATCTTCCTTCCTTCCTGCCCGCCTTCCCTTCTTTCCTCTTCCTGTTTTTTTTTTTTTTTTTTGTTATGGTACTGGGTGTTGAATCCAAGGGCCTTCTACCACGTAGGTACTTCACCAGTCCTTTTTCTATTTTTGAGACAAGGTCTTGCTAAGTAAGTTGCCCAGGCTGGCCTTGAACTTGGGATCCTCCTGTCTCAGCCTCCTGAGTAGCTGGGGTAGCCCTGCTCCCTCTCTATACTTTGACTGTGTTGCCATAGTCTGCCATGAGCTACTGGGCTCAAGCCATCTTCCTGCCTCAGCCTCCCCTGTAGATGGGTTCACAGGCTCCTGGTGCTGTGCCGGGCTTTCCATATTTTTTTAGAACATGTGTGCTCATTTGACACCTGGGCAGATAATTTTTTTAACATCCACTTCCTCTAAATAATATTATTTTCAGTAACAGTCATGAAATACAGTGAATTAATACTAGTGATAATGACCAGAAAAGAAATATACATGGAACCTTTTTATTGAACTTGGTATATAGACTCTTTTTTTTTTTTTAATTGTAGTCGTACACAATATCTTTATTTATTTATTTATTTATTTTTATGTGGTGCTGAGGATTGAACCCAGGGCCTCACACATGCTGTGTGTGTACTTTGCCACTGAGCTACAGCCCCAACCCGGGGCTGTAGACTCTTGCCAGTAAAAATAAATATTGAATATTACAGTACAAAAAGCAGAACAGAGCTAATAGATCAATACTTTTCAATTACCTTAATGTATTTATTTGAAGAAATTATAAAACATACACACATGGTGGCCTATTGCAATAATAATTCATTAATTATGTTATACTTTAAAAGCAAGTGAGAAAAATAACAATTGCAAAATAAGAGATGCAGCCTGGGGATATAGCTTAGAGATGGAGTACTTGCCTAGCATAATGTGTGAGGCTCGGAGTTCAGTCTCCAGTGAACACACACACACACACACACACACACACACACACACAGGCTGGGGGTGTGGCTGAGTGCTTACCTAGCATGCACAAGGCCCTGGGCTAAATTCCCAGCAAAACAAAACAAAATGAAAATAAGAGCTGCACCAGACAGGCAGGTAGCACAACCCTGAAATCCCAGCTTCTCAGGAGCCTGAGGCAGGAGGATTGCAAGTTTGAGGCTAGCCTGGGAAATTTGGTGAGAACCTATCTCAAAAAAGGCTAGAGATGCAGCTGGATGGTAGAGTGCCCCTGGGTTCAATCCCCAGTACCACAATCAATCAATCAGTCAATCAATGAGCTGGGCGGGGGTTGTAACTCAGGGTTCTGGGTTCAGTCCCTAGCACTGCAAAATAAGTAATAAGAGCCAATTTCAATGTTAAATATATTCCAATTTGATAGTAGAGCATAAGTTTACTAAACAGTAATAGTATAATATGATCTTACTAAGTCATAGTTACCACATTTTCCAGATTGTCTTTTCACTGTTTTAAAATTTTAAATAGCAAATTTCCAAGTGGTTACATGAAATGACAGTAATGGCAACTCAAGTTCTGCTCTTTCAAAAGTCACTGTGCTGTCATTGTTTTGGATCTGTTGTTTAAACAGACACGTGTGGTACCAAAGGCAATGGAGACAAGACTGCAACTATGCAGGAGACGGGCCTGAATAATTCTGAACTGTTGGGGACTTACTCTCAAAATGAATGCAGACAGTTGATTGTGGCTCCCTGGGTGATAGGGCTGACTGTATAACTGGGAATGCTTTGAATTAACTTCCTTGTAGAAGGCTTATTACTGCATAAGTAATTAAAGTGTTCTGATTTAAAGCTTACAAATATATCATTAAAACTCAAGCTAGACCAACAACTTGATCTTCTTTGGGAAGGAGTATTTTATCACCAACATGGTTTAGAATTGTGGTTGCATGGTGATAATAAAAAGCAGACTAACTTTCAATCACTTTTATTATTCTCTGTAATTCTCTGCAGACAGTGCACCCTGTCAAGGCCTGTGCAGCCCCACCGGGTACCCACTGCAGAGCATCAAGGGACTCCTGCAGGTACCACTTCAGTTGTGCCATGAGGCCAGAGGACTCCCCTGGTTTCCACTCTCACCATTGTATTCCCAGCACCTGGTGGAGCTTGGCACTATGTAGGCTCTCAATATCTGTTCAGTGTCTGGGTGCCGTGGTATACACGTGTAATCCCAGCGGTTCTGGAGGCTAAGGCAGGAGGATCACAAGTTCAAAGCCAGCCTCAGCAACTTAGCAAGGTCCTGAGCAACTTGGCATAGACTGGTATAGACTCTGTCTCAACATGAAATATAAAAAGGGCTGGGGGGCTGGAATTGTGGCTCGGCAGTAGAGCACTTGCCTAGCACGTGCGAGGCTCTGGGTTCGATCCTCATCACCACATAAAAATAAATGAATAAAATAATGGTACTGTGTCAACTACAACTAAAAATATTTTTTAAAAAATAAATAAATAAAAATAAAAAGGGCTGGGGATGTGGCTCAGTGGTTAAGCATCCCTGGGTTCAATCCCTGGTAGAAAAAAAATATATCTGTTCATGGAAGGAAAGAAGACACCAACTCAGGTAAGCTAGACTCCCCCACCTCCAACTATGTCTAACTCCAGAAGGACCCATCTTCAAACAGGTGAACCAGTGTTTTCTTCAGAGACATTCAGAATGAAAAGACATGGTCAGTTGGTCAGTCTCTCTCTCTGTCCCTCTCTCCTTTCTCTTAAATTCATCTAAATTCCTTCATTTAAACACATTCAGAGGCTATGATAATAAGTGTGTTATAAGACCCTTTCTTTTTATTAAATGATAGTATAGAACTCTCCATGTAGCTATATTTATTTATATGCAGCCCTGGGGATTGAACCCAGGTCTCATGCACATTAGGGAAGCACTCTTTCTGTGAGTTACACCCTTAGCCCTCATAGGTAGCGACTGAGCACTTGAAGTGTGGCTAGTATGAATTGAAATGATGCTGTAGTGCAGAATACACATTGGCTTTCACATATTATTATTAAAAAAAAGTAAGATAACCAGGAGCCGTGGTGCACGCCTGTAATCCCAGCAGCTCCAGAGGCTGAGGCAGGGGGATCATGAGTTCAAAGCCACCCTCAGCAACGGTGAGGGGCAAAGCAACTCAGTGAGACCCTGTCTCTAAATAAAATACAAAATGGGCTGGGGATGGGGCTCAGTGGTTAAGTGCCCCTGAGTTCAATTCCCGGTACCAAAAAAAAAAATAAGTTCTTTTTATATATTTCTATTGATTACATGTTGAGAATATATTTTGGATATATATCATTTTTATTGAACTTATATGTAATTAATAGTAGTCATTAGCAAGTAATGATTAATAAAGCAAATAAAATATATGAAAATTAATTTCATTTGTTTCTCTTTGTTTTACTTTTTAAAATGGGGCTCCTGGGAATTTTTGTTTATTAATTTTTCCTGCTGCACTGGGGCTTGAACCCAGGCCTTTGCACATGCTAAACAAACATTGAACCTCCATGTTTCATCCCCAGCCACTACTGGAAATTTTTAACTTCCACTTGTGGCTCATGTTGTATTTCTATTAGCACTTACATGGAAGATGGAGGGGTTTTTTGGTCTATGGTTGGCAAAATAAAAAGGTGATAATCTTTTATCTGTCTCCAAATTTTCAAAAAAAATATTTTATTATTATTATTTTTTGAGGGGGCGGTGGGGAAAGGATTAAAAAATTTCTATGAAATTCCAAAATTTTAAAAACCCTGGTCCAATACTGGGTGGCCATACACGAGATGTAGCTGGAGACTCAGAGAAGCACAAGGCTTCCACAGGTGTGAACTTCCCACTGGTTTGTTCAACATTATGAGTCTCTAGGGAGTTAATTCTACTCATTTGCCTCAGTTTCCTTACTTCAAAATGAGAGAGTTTAGGCCCTACATCACGGTGGTATGGATGACAACTACACCAAGAAGAACAACAAAAATACTGTCTTTAAAAAAAAAAAAAGAAGCAAGGCAAAGTGGCATCTGCCTATATTCACAGCTATGTGACAGCTTGAGAGGCTGAGGAAGGAGGATTGCTGGTGCACTGGAAAAAGGCCCTGTCAAAAAAATAAAAATAAAAAAGACTATAGAGAATAGAAAAAAGATATGTTATTCTTAGGGGAGAGAGTTGAATAAGTGAAAGCACAGGGGATTTTTTTTTAGGGTAGTGAAACTTCTGTAAGATATTATAATTGTGGCTAAGTATGCATTAGTCATTCATTCAGTTTTAAAGCACAAAGAGATGAATCTTAACATTTAAAAGATGTAAAATTTTTAGAAAATCATTTAATGCATCTGGAGAATTCCAAGATTGAATGCAGAATGTGACAAAACAGGCTGGGGCTACAGCTCAGTGACAGAGCGCACCCCTCCAAAATCTAAACTCTGTTACAAATGTGTGAAACAATATCACTGAAGGGTGTGGAGGAGAAGGTGCTGACCTGAGTGACATTATAAATGAGTAGCATCTGCAACACCAGAGGCCAAAGAAAGTATAAACAAGGCTGTGCTTGATAAAATTTCCCAAGGGCATGCATTAATGATTTCGACACTGCTCAGCATATGTACTGGAAATAAACAAATGATCAAATGGCTGGTGGGTGATGGGACTCACCGTTTCCACTGTTGGGATGGGAGTTCACTGATAGGCAAGTGGGAAGAGGCTTAGAATGACCCCTCTGATAATGGATTAGAGTTGTAAATATGAGCAGGCCTGCATTCCCACACTGGTAATCTCAGCTACTGGGGAGGCTGCGGCAGGAGGGTCACAAGTTCCAAGCCAGCCTCAGCAATTTAGGGGGAGGATGTCTTGAAAATAAAAAGGGCTGGGAATGTACCTTAGAAGTACAGCTCCCGTGGGTTCAATCCTCAATCACACACACACACACATACACACACAAAGATAGATCACTTGAATGAGAAATTGCCATGGCCAAGAGGAAGTTAAGGAGACAACTAAATGTGAGGTGTATGTCATGCTGGATGGATCCTGGAATAGAAAAAGGACATTAGGACATTAAGGGTGAACTATGCATTCTAATAATGTATCATTATTGGTTTCTTAATGGAAATGTACGATATTAATGCATGATATTGGTAATAGGGGAAAGAGGGAGGGTGGGGTATATGGGAACTTTGTAATTAGCAATTTTCGTAAATCTAAAACTGTTCTTTTTTTCTTAATAGAATAAGGTTTCGAAAGCATATCTGCTTTATTTACACTTCAGAATGACAAAGCTATAATGCAGCCTGCCTCAAAAACAGAATTTATTAAACAGAAGTTTTGTGTTTTTTTTTTTTTTTTCCAAGAAGATTTTTTTTTTTTATGCCTAAAATCCCAGGAAGATTGAGGCAGGAGGATTGTGGGTTCAAGGCCAGTCTGAGCAACATAGCAAAACTGCAACTGGAAAAAAAAAAATTCCTTCCATGGTTTAAGAAAAATTTCAACAGCTTTAATATGTTCTGAATCCAGGATTTAGATTGTTCAATACAAATCAGCTACGAATTAATTAGGTTAGTGTCTTAAGAACTCAGGGTCAAAAAATTAAGGATCTCTAATTTGTATCTGAAATATAAACAAGGAAAGATGACAAATTTCATCGTTCATTTTAAACTAAATGAAAATACCAGGGCTGGTGCTGCATCTCAGTGGTAGAGCACTTGCCTAGCATGCGTGAGGTCCTGGGTTCGATCCTCAGCACCACATAAAAAATAAAGAAAAATGAAGACATTGTGTTCATCTACAACTAGAAAAAAAAATTAAAGAAAACACCTATAACGAAAGAAATCCACATCGAGCAGATTATAACAATTCCTTTGCCTACATACTCATTGCCTTGCCTAAACCTGCCTTAATAGAATACATATATTGTATAATTGAAACAATTTTGCTCTTATATTAACTACCAACCAAAGATTATGCACAGGCTGCAACTGACAAAGGCGTTAGTGGTAGTTCCTTCTAATTTGGAGAATTCCTTGAAAAGGGAGAGAGAGGAGGAGATAAAGAGAAGAGAGGGAGGAGAGGAAAGAGGAGAGAAAGGGGAGAGAGAGGAGAAAGGGAGGAGAGAGGGAGGGAGAGGGAGAGCGGGCAGAGCGCCGCGCCTCCTTGCTACATTGAGGATGGAGGGAGGGCAGGGTCGACGCTCATTGGTGGTGTCCCTGGGCCGAGGGCAGGGCTCTCAGCCAAGCCTGCTGATTGGTGAGCTTCCCGGAGCGCCGGGACGGAGCTAGGAGCCTATTGGCTGCGACGCTGGAGGGTGGTGTAATGGACCGCCCAGGCTGTGCGGCCGGTTTCTATGGCAACCGAGGCTTGAAAGAAGCGCTCAGATTTCGGCGCTCGCCCCCAACTCCCCCTTCCGGAGGGGGCAGGGCGGCCTGGATTCGACGGCCGGTTGCAGAGGCGTGGGGGCTGGGAGCTAAGGGGACTTGGCCTGCTTTGGACTGAACCAACCCAGCAGCGCCACCTCTGAAGCGGGTCTCAAACCCGGCCTGCGGGCTCTCCCAAAAAACAAAAAACAGCCCAACGGAAAGGGGCTTCTTCTCTGAAGGAGAATGATGACCTGTAACCCCATTCCCCCAACCTCTCCACTGGTAACACGTTGACCACAAAGCCGGCCCTGATTAGGTGTCCAGTACTTACAGTGAAGAAGAAATGAAGGAAGGAAGAGGAGAGAGCGTGGGAGGATCCATGAAGTGGGCGACATGACGTGGGCTGAGACCAGTTGCCCGCCCTTTGGGGCTGAAAGTCCAGTTGACCCCTAAGGCTAACGGAGTCTGACAGCCTTGGATGTAGGGGCTCGGAGGAGGAGGGGCAGCTGGTGCCTTGGAAAGCGGTGGGGAGCACCAGCGGCCCTAGAGTCTCTCCTGGGGTTTGGGAGGCCTGATGGCAATCAGGCTCCTCCCTGCCTAACAGCCCTCTGGCTCTGCTCAGCCCCAGTGTTTCAACTCGCTAGATCCCCAAGTCTTTGTGTTTGGGCAGTAGCAAATGGTACCCACTTCATTGAGTTGGTGTCAGAACTGCGTTGAGCTAATGCACTAAGTTTCTTAATACAACGCCCAGAACAGTGTGCAATCCACAGTAGCCATTATAATTGAAGAAGGGGTAGGATTTGTCTAGGCTGAGAAAATGGGAGAGATGTCATGGTTGTTAGGAGGCAGAAGTGGTGTGGGAAAGCCTAGACCTGTTTGGATGTCATAGAGAAAATCATGGGAGGTAATAACCAAAGACAAAATAAATAATAAACTAATGATGGGAGCTACTATAGG